ATGGAGGGTGTAGGGGTATGTAGTATTATATTAGCATAAAACAATAATTGACTAGCTATAATTTTGACATATCTACATTTTTAAAAGGAGAGCTGTGAATACACTATCAGACAACTGTTTAGAAAACAAGATCATTCAAGATCAACTATATGTATGCCATATAATGATGATTGTCTGTTGAGCTGGGTGGTTAGCTTAATTAATCAATTACCTTTTAGCATCATTTACATTTATTAATGTAAAATAATCAATTTATGGAAACAATTATTTTTCATTATCCCAACTATAACATAACATTTAAGAGCAACAAGAGACCTATCGGTCCATCTAGGCTGTCCCATCCTTTAAACTAAACTAAAACTATTAAATAAAATAATAAATAAATAGATAAAAAATATGAAAACTTCAAAGCCACCCCTTATCGTTCATATACTTATTAAGCTTTCTTTTAAACGCAGAACATCCGAAGGCAATGCATTCTAAAGGCCAACCAACCTGTTACAAAAATAAAACTATCTTAGCTGAAGATGACCCCTACCCTGCCAAAATGTATATTTGTGTCACCTAGTCCTATCATTCTCACCATTAAGTATGAAAAAAAGATGATGCATCAACACTATCAATTCCTTTAACAATCTCAAATACCTCAATCAGATCCCCCTCTAACTCTTCTTTTTTCAAAAGAAAACAATTTCAGAGATCTAAACCACTCCTTGTATGACAACCTCTTCATCTCAGGCACCATTCTAGTAGTCCTCCTCTGAACCCTTTCCAACAATTCAATGTCCTTCCTATGGTAAGGAGCCTAAGACTGAATAGAATACTCCTAATGTGGCCTAACCAGTAACCTATAAAATAAAATTATAACCTCTTTAGGTTTGTATTTAATAGTTCTGTAGATAAGACCTAAAATCCTATTTGCCCTACCACTAGCAACAGTACACTGCTTGGATGACTTAAGACACTGATCAACCACTACACTGAGATCCCTTTCTTTCATAACATTGTTGAGGTTATTCCCATCCAAATTATATTTATAATTCAAATTATTCCAACTATCCAGTAATCAAAATGACAATTACCTTATGAATATAATCAAGTAATCAAAATTATTGTTTTTGATTATTACTATATTTGATTAATTCAAGTCTGTTCAGCTTAAATCATTAATGTCATGATTCATGAATATAATCAACTAATTGAAATTAGGGGTTTCGATTATTATTATTTTCAGTTATTCTAACTATCTAAGTAATGAAAATGTTGCCATTTTGTACTGGTAAGCATAAAGTTACACAATGGGCTATCTGTGCTCTGTCCACCATGAGTACCGAAACCCAACTTTTTAGCTTTAAAAGTCTTTCTTTTTATAGCCATATCATGTGAGAATATTCAATTAATAAGCCTTACACTTATTCTATTCACAAATTCCACTGATCACTCACCTCAAGCTATCTGTACAGCATGGCCTTTAGGCACTGCTAGTCCAAAGTAAAAAAAAAGCAACTAAATTGAGTATCAGTAACAAATGGTAAGGAAAATAAACTTCAAAAGTCCAGCTTAACATTAAGAAGACCTGCTTCAACCAACAGTTGATAGAACAGTTCATTTGAACTTCTGGTCAGATCATAAGAACTGTCAGTAAAATCAGTGAGGGCTTGAGTTCTTCACACATGAGTCAAAGTTTTATGTGACTACCAAGGATTGAAATTTTCTTATTTCAAAAGAGAACAATATGCTAATAAAATCATTGAATATAACTGTATAATGAAGTTGCACGTGTCATGTGGATTTGGTTTATCTTGATTTTCAGAAAGCATTTGATAAGATGCCTCAAAAAATACTTGTTACCAAAGTTAAATCTGTGAGTATAGGGGAAATGTTATTAAATTAGATAGAAAATTGGCTGGAGAGTAGAAAACAGAGAGTAGTAATAAATGGAGTTAGATCTGACTGGATCACAGTTACAAGCAGTGTGCCTCAGGGCTCTATGCTGGGTCCTCTGCTGTTTGTGATTTACATTAATGATATTGACTCTGGAATGACCAACAAAATTTTGAAGTTTGCAAATGACATTAACATTTTTGGGGTGGCTAACTGTATCAAAGATGCTGCAGACTCACAGGGAGTTTTAGATCATTTGATGCTTGGGGCCAATACGTGGCAGATGATGTTCAACTATCCAAAATGTAAGGTGATGCATGTAGATTTTCACAATTCACATTATTATTACAACTTAAATGGGAATACATTAAATACTGTGGTTGAAGTAAAAGATCTTGGTGTTGTGATCAAAATATCACTTAAGTCATCTAAACAGTATACTGTAGCTAGCAATAGGGCTAATAGTAGCATCTATAGAAACATTGAACACAAGACAAGAGATGTTATTGTTTCACTGTATAGATCATTTGTAAGGCCTCATTTAGAGTACTGTGTACAGTTTTGGGCTCCCTACCTCATTTAATTGTTGGAGATGATTCAGAGAAAAGCCACTAGGATGATATTTGGGAAGGTGGGATTGTCCTATGAGGAGAGACTAAAATCTCTAAACTTGTTTTCTCTGGAGAGAAGGGCCAAAGAGGATTTGATTAAGGTGTTAAAGTTTATTAAGGGTATTGATAATATAGATCCATCAAACTTTTTTTGTGTTTAGCAGTGAAAACAATAGGACAAGGGGTCATAAGTTCAAATTTTGGTAGTACAGAAGTTGTCTGCAGTTTAGACAGTATTACTTTTGAAACAGGGTGTTTGGCTTTTGGTTTGAGTTCAAGAAAAAACTGGATGAATACATGAGTATTAAGGGGTGGGTATAGTTGGGAGCTAGAAGGGACATCCTTGATGGGCTAATAAGCTCCATTTTGTCCCTTTAAAATTTTATGAATTATGAAGCGCTGAATGTAAGGGGTGAATGTAATGTTTGATGAATTATATGTATCAGCATGACATTTGATTCAGCTGTACAACCTTTCATTGGTGCAACTGCACCAGACTTTGTCTGGATGTGCAAAATATTAATGGTATCATATTGCCAGGATTATGATGGATTATCTTCAACATGAGGCCACAGAAGTTATGGCTTGGCGAAATGAAATTCTGATCTAAGTTCTTAGATGCCATGTACATCAACAGCTTAATCCTCAACTGAACATCAAAGGGCTTGGTATTTCACTGATTGAGCAATGAAACAGGATTTGACAGGATCACTATAATGTTTTCATCTGAAAAATTAGCAACATGCCCAGAAGAAGAAGGGGCTGTATCAATGCTATTAAACCAATACTAATTACTGAGTATATCTTTTTACAAAATGTGACTTTTTCAAACAAGTTGACTTAGTCACTTGCTAATTTGGACCACTTCAACTTTACAAGTACTCATGTTCCACACATTATACACAACCTTACTAATGATATATGTATTTAATGTCAATAAAACTGATATACTGAATAAAAGTATCTATCCAAATCATTGATATGTACAACACAGGTCCCAAAACAGACTCCTGTAAACCTCAATTCACATAAATACTTTTGTTTTCTATCATAAGAACAATTTTCTGTGTACTTCTTATTTGTATGTTTTCCATCATTAAGTACAAAAGCTTCAAGATTTTGTGAAATGCCTTAACCTTTGTGAAAGTGCATGGAATTATTTCACCAGACCATCTTCAAATTGGAGAAGAATTGCTGACTATAATTCTGAACTTACTATGAGTACTTACACAAAATGTGGCAAGCTTTTAGTAAGATGTACAAGTCTGTTGTACACAAAAAAAAGCAGCTGTGTTGCAAAAGTATTTGTACTCAAGGTATGTCTGTGAATTGACAATGGCAGTCTGGCTCAGACTGCCAAGTCAGAGTACAAGGTGATGTTCATGTTAAGAACAAAAATACTTTTGTCAATTGTACATTTCACGTATGGCATTTGCATAATATCTAGAGCCTCTGAAATGCATATCTACAGTTTCTTATTCACTATCCCTGTATACCATATCCAGTATATGCTTTCTTCTACCATGAACTATCACAAAATCAACTGTCAGGTAAAACTAACAACTCTAACATCAAATAAACATACCATGTTGAATATCACTCTATAAAAGGTTGTGGCATGTACACTTTAACCCCACCTGTGTACATTGGGTTAACAAAGCCTTTTAAGTTTTGTACGACAAATAGCATAAACTTATATCTATATTAATAATATATAAATAGAAATATTTCAAGGCATGTGTTTAACTTTTATAAATAATTCACAAATTTCCAATTCAATCAGGAACAAAGTTTAAGCAAATACAAAAACAGTGTCAGTGAGTAATTAAAGATAAAATCTGATTAATGTTAATTTTAATGTTTTAACAAAATTCTAAGTTTGTATTTCAGAATAGTTTTAAATTTATATGCAAAAATTAATATTGGTATTGATATAAATAGATGTAACAATAAAATACCACTAAAAAGTAAAATTCAGGGTCATTTGTTCTTTAATTATAGTAATAATACCATAAATCGTGTGAAACATTGTGTTGCAACACAATTTATACTTTATGAACTTTAACTACTTCAATCTGTAGACTTTATTATGAAAAGCACTTTTCCAATGCCAGAGATTATCATGCTGTAAAATTTAAAATACAATTTACAAATATGTTTGGATATTTAGGTTTGTTTAATTAGGTGAAACTCCAACAGTCACATCACTGTAGGAACACTATTTTAATAAGAAAGTGTTAACGGCTTATAGTATTTGATCTAGTATTAGTAATCGGTAGTAATATAACTGCTTCTAGTACTACAACATGAATTTAATACATGTAAATTGTAGTTGTAGTTAAAAGCAATAAAATCATTTCAACTTCAAAACAGCTGCACTTTTATACTTATACAATTTTTGTATGGATATATAATATCAGAGTATATTAATTTGAGTACGAAAATTAACACATATGTTACTTTTTAAGTTAAGTCGTGCTAAAAGTCAAATCATAATTCACATACCGTTTCTTCTTTTTCGCTTTCATTATCATTACATTCACTTCTAGCTTGAGAGAGGGAACTTGGAGACCTTTGAACGGTAACCAGTGTCATTTTACAATGCTATTCACTATTTAGAAATAAACGTGTGTAGTTATAAAATTGAAAACATATATAACAAAGTAAAATATTTGGTTTTCAGTTGTAGCAAAACGTTCACTCTAGAGCAGTTACTTAATACTATCTTCCTTCTCATTCGCCATTTTACTCACTCAGATATTGACATACCAAATGCGCATGCGTCGGTGTTGCGACTTCCGCATGACCTAACAGGATATCTAGATTGCTAGGCAACCGCGTATAGCCTATTCATCTTGAAATAATATTTTTGTTATTTAATTCTTTGTTTCTAAATTCCTTCTTGCATGGTTCTTTTTCCTTACCAGCGTAATTGAAAATAAGTGTATTATATAGGGACGAAAGATACAAATATGTAGATAAATTCATTTTATAAAATTTCGTAAAGAAAAATGTGCATTTCCTAGCAATATCAGGTTTTTTACGTGTGTGCTGCCATCTATTATGAAATTGATATATATATATATATATGAACTTGAATTGTCATTTTTATCAAACTTAGCAAGGAAGGAGACGGAGGGTTGTTCACGACTTATAGTAACAACTTGCATGTCTAGTCATCTTGCCTTTGGTCATCTCAATGAATGGTGAGTAAATAGGTTAATAGCCCTGACATACTTATTGTAATTCACGTTAAGAGTGGTTATTGCAAATGTTTATGGCTCCTAAAAGTTATCCTTTCTAAGAAGATTATGTTACAGGGTATTTTGAATCGAAATTCTCCCATTCTACGGCCACATAAGCTTGCAAGGCATTAATTTTTAGCGTATCGAGCAAAAGAAGAAGAAAGATATGTAATGTTGAACCGTATAGGTAAAGTTAGGGAAGGCACGATTCCAGCTTGGAAAAAACAGAATACTCCACCATTAACACTTCAGAGTTAGCGAAAAAAATGTAACAGCTTATCACTGAAATTAACCCAAGAACAGAATGGCCCATTGTAGCTAAAGTAGAAACATCCTTTGGAACTCTAAATGAGATAATTCACAAAGATTTAGGTTTACAGAATCAGGAAAAGGCCATGATCACAAAGTTTTCCCAGAGTACACAGCCGAAGAAAGACAGACTGAGAAAAGGTGCACGAGAGGGAGCGTTATTCGGTATGTAATAAATGGTTGTATGCTGACAGATCGGGTGAAGTATATAGATCTACTTTAATATATACAAAAGCCCGGGAAATTTGCTATTGTTCTGTTGATGAGACAACATTTTAAAAAATGACATAGCGCACGTCGCGAACGTTTTTCTTAAGGTTTTATGGTAATTATAGGCTACAGCTGTAATACTAAGTTTAACGTCTGAAAAGTCTAGAAAAATGTGAACATAAGCCCTGCATATTCTCAGGCTGAGGTGGTGACAGTACTTACACCGAAAAATATGCCACCTTTGTACATAATGGATGTCAAAATGCATTGTTCTATCAACGCAAAGCATCCAATCACATTTTAAATTCAATATGCTAGTTTTCCAGTAGATGCAATTAGAAACGGGGATTCGTGCTTTACCCTTCCTATTCATCTTCTATAGACTTCCGAGTTTTAAAACTGTTCTAACTGGTCCTCAGGAGTCGTCGTCGAAATACTGACGGAGTTAAAAAGGGCAAATAAAAAGGAGGAGGGGAGCAAAATGGACATCAATGCGTTGCTCAAAATCTTTTTGCAGTGGAAAGTTCACTGCCTTGTTCCCATGAGAGTTCAAAGATGTAATAATATCAGAATCAGAAGTTGCATTTTGAACGAGAAAGCAAAGGAAAGATATAGTTATAAAATAAACAAGGAACACCGAAGCATAGTTATAATAAACAATCTTATCACAAAAAGATTCCTATTTACGCAACAAATGTACGAAATGCAAGCCTTCAATATTTAAATGAAAATCGATGCACGTCCAATTCTATAGACTCTTACTCCACAAATAACGACAAAGAACATTACAGAATGAAAAAAAGTTCATTAGCTTTATCACGATCTTCTTATTTTAAATTATATAGTTTTGAACATCCAAGTACAAAATTTTAGTGAAAGTTTATGAACTAGTGAATCTTAGACATTTACATTCAAATAATAAATCAAAGTTAGGCAGTGTATTGACAGGAAACATTCTGCTTGAGAAATGTGATTCATGGCCAATTTATAACCTTTTTCAGTATAGAAACTTTTGTTTGCGAGGTGTTTTATTTCCTTCTCGTGTTCGAATTCAAAAGATAAGTCCTATAAATTTTTTTCTCTCAATGGTTCGCATATAAGTCCGTAATTTTTTTCTGCCTATTATTTTTTATATGCAAGTCGTCAATAAAATGAATCAGTTAAAGAATATGATACAAATCTTACATCCGATTCAAAAATTTCTTCTCTTTTCTTGTGCTTCTCGATAGTACATTTTGAAATATATTTCCATTTGATCTTTGCGACATCTCGTATGATGTTTTGAAACTACACCTTAGAAAAACAGATCGCGAAGAAATAAACAAATTTATCATAATTCTTTTGAGTTTTACAAATCTTTTCAGACACTGATTGGATAAAAAAGTTGCTTTTGGTTAAATAGCATGTAAAATGTAGACACTTCCAAAAAATTCGGTCTCTTGCTAAGCTGCATTCTGTAAAACTTAAAAAAATAACAAAAAACAACAGACTTTTTTTTTTCAAAGTACGATACAGTTCAATATGGCTTTTCACTTATTTTTAATAGGTATAATGTTACATATAATTTTAAAAGAAACTATCTTATTTTTGTGGCATATTTTAATTCTAGTGATCCTGTGGCTAACATGTAGGTCAATTTTACCCAATTCACAAATTATAGGTATTACATACACATATATACATATAACATTAATGCTGTGTAATGCATTAAATTATCGACACTGTACACGTGTAAGAAGAAATAAAATGTACTTTTTAACACTGAAAACTACATGAAACTGATATTGTTTAAGTGCCAAAAATTTATGTGTTAAGCATTGAAATCTTAGAAGTACTGTACTGATCAACCAAGTTCTAAAAGGTTCTGTTTTGAACTACAATAAATAAAAAGATAATCAGAAGAAATACTTAAAAAAAAAGACCAGGGTATTTATAAGAATTGTTTACTAAAATCCAATGTTCTTTAAAGTTTTGCGACTGAGCGTTACCTAGTGGTTAACATATCGAACAACGAATTGTTACGTCTCCGTTTGTTAATTAACTTTCCGTAACTTCGTTCCGACGAAACTTTAGCGACACAAGTCCTTACTTTATAAAACTGGTTTATTCTTTCCGAATATAACTTTACAATACACTTAATTTCAACATTCGCGCTAAAACAAACGTTTTAACAACGTTAACTTCAACAATACTTTCTCACTACCTACACACACATTGTCCCATCACGTTGTCACCCTCTTATATATATACCAGGCTATCCTCAATCTAGTAAATGCTAGGGCATTCACGAAGGAACAAGATACTTCTAGAAACGTGGCGTGACACTAGTCACGTGACCTCGCTGACGCAACACTGCCCCCTCCTTAGTATTGTTCGTCCCGAACAATAACCACATACAATAAACCAATAACAATTAACAATAACTTAATTAAATGTACAGAATTACAAACACAAAATTACAATTCAACAAAGTCTCTTAATTTTACGGGGCGTATCTTCTTCCGTACTGGTCTCCGTCTCGTTGGCTTCTGCTTCATGTGGGATTCATCTGCTTCATCAGTAAATGTCCTTTCGTCAGTAAGACAAGGTATGGTTGTATAATCCCAGGAAGACTAGAGGGAAGTCTCCTACATTGTCTTCTTCATGGGAAGGCCCATATGACATAGTGGATCGTCTCTCAGACGTGACTTTCCGGGTAAAATGTGGTCGGCGAGATAAGCCAAAAGTGGTGCATGCCAACAGGCTTTGGCGTTATCACGGTCCAGGACACTTCAGTTGGGATGAAGTGGAAAACAGAACAAATGACGCTGCTGAAGACGTGCCACATGAAGAAGCCACCGTCGAAGAAGAAACTCTACTCAGTTTTGAGAAGGAAAACGGTGAAGCTCTTGATGAAGTTACTACCACTGATGTGACTGTCCTGGTCCAAAGTTGACTTCAGTAGATCTCTTATCATAAGTTAACTTCATCGAATCAGCAGACGTTTTCAAGTTTGAACGCACTTGATGGTGGATATCATCCATCCTTTCCGATAACACTTTCACAAACTCCGACACATTCTCAGGCAACTCTTCATAAGGTGGGCGTCCTGTTAACAGATCCACTGGCAACCGAAGTTCCCGTCCAAACATCAACTTTGCTGGAGTGTATCCAGTGGTTTCATGCTCTGCTGTCCTATAGGCCATCAACAGTGGAGGGAGTAAGACATCCCAGTAATCTTGGCGGCTATTACAAAACTTTGCCAATTCCTGTCCCAGTGTCCAGTTGTACTTTTCTACCATCCCATCAGACTGTGGGTGAAAATCATTTTTCATGGTGTAAGTTTTCTACACTTTCT